TTACAAGTAGAATACGTCCAATTTGATTGGAACGCCGGGTATACTACTCCAACAATATGACCCCGTTCAGATCTACGAGTAGGTAGAATCATCTGAGAAGAACTTCCAACATTGGTGTCTGGCAAAATGGGTTGTGGCTCCCCTTGCTCTGACAAGATGGGTTGTTGCTCCCCTTGCTCTGCACTCTCCTCCGTCTCCTCGTCTTCTTCTGGTACATCATCTTCATTGTTTCTCCGGAACAATTCTGGTGCTTCATCTGAAACTTGAGCACCCACATTTGACTTCTGAGACATCTTGGGCTTTTCGATATCTTCTATTGTCAAATTTTCTTGGAACTCAACGTCCCTACTTCTGATCACCTTTTTCTCCTTTGGATCCCAAAATCTGTATCCAAACTCTTCATCTCCATAACCAATGAAAATGCATGGGATGGACCTCGCATCGAGCTTCTTCCTGAGCTCTTTGGATACATGTGCATATGCTACACAACCAAATACTCTGAGATGTGAGTATGTCGGATCCTTACCAGTCCATATTCTCTCTGGAACTTCAAAATTTAATGGAACTGAAGGTGATCGGTTGATCAGATAACATGCGGTCTTGACAGCTTCTCCCCAAAATGGCTTTGGTAATCTAGCCATATTCATCATGCTTCGGACACGCTCCATGATAGTCCGATTCACTCTTTCAGCAACACCGTTGTGCTGAGGGGTACGTGGTACTGACTTCTCATGTCGAATGCCATATGTCCTGCAATATGCATTGAACTCCTTGGAAGTATACTCGCCTCCATTATCAGATCGGAGACATTTCAGCTTCTTTCCTGTTTCACGTTCCACCATGACGTGAAATTCCTTGAAGTACTCAAACACCTGGTCCTTCGTATTCAGGATATATACCCACACCTTTCGAGAAGCATCATCAATGAAAGTCAGAAAATATCTGCTTCGACCCAGTGATTCAACCTCCATGGGACCGCAAACATCAGAGTGTACCAAGCTTAACAACTCTGATCTCTTTGTTGAACTTGTATTGAATGAGACTCTATGCTGCTTGCCGAACAGACAATGACTGCAAGAACCCATCGCCGCACTCTTATCAACCTTGATAAGATCCTTCTTCATCAGGGTAGTCAGCCCTTTCTCACTCATATGGCCGAGTCTCTTGTGCCATAGATCCTGGGAAGGCTCCTCTGCAACATTGAGACTTTCTGTACTAATCTTCAAATGTGTTTTGTACAGCGTCCCACAAACATGTCCTCGGGCGGTTTTCAGAACACCCTTTGACAACTTCCATGTGCCTGCGCCGAAGTGATTTTCATATCCTTCTTTGTCAAGAGCCACCACTGACAAAAGATTCAGCCTAAGATCTGGCACATGCCTGACATCCTTCAACAAGATTGTACTCCCAGTTCCTGTCGTTTCCTGGATATCACCAATTCCGACAATTTGAGAGGAGCTGGAATTTCCCATCTTCACTGATCCAAAGTCTCCAGCTTGGTATGTTGTGAAGTATTTCCTGTTGGGAGTAACGTGATAGGATGCTGCAGTATCTACCACCCATTACATGTCTTCTCTTGAGACATGAAGGCATGTCTCACCATGGTTAGAGTAATATGCTACATCACCTGAGACAGTGATAAGAGTTTCACCACTCTTGCCCTTGTTCTTCTGCTGAGAACTATTCTTCGACTGAGAATTGCTCTTGCCCTGCTCCTCGAGCCATTTATAGCAATTCTTCTTCATATGACCTTCTAGACCACAATGATAGCACACATGTGATCTCCGATCATCTGATTGCCTCCCCCTGCTTCTACCCCTGCTCTTCCCTCTACCGCTTCTTTGTTGCTTGCCTTGTGGTCTTCCTCGATTCTCCATCACAAGGGCATGGGTCTGATCTGTGCCCATGTCTTTCCTTCTTGCCTCTTCATTGAATAAGGCATCCTTGACAACCGACATGGAAAGTTTGCCGTTTGAGGCTGAGTTGCTGAGAGTAACAACGAGTGTTTCCCAGCTATCAGGAAGGGAACTAAGAAGTAGCAGAGATTGTATTTCATCTCCAAGCGGCATCTCCACACAAGATAGCTGATTTACCAGGCTCTGAAACTCACTGGTATGCTCGGCAACAGAAGTTCCACTTTTCAACTTCATATTCACTAAGCGCCTCATCAATAAGGCCTTATTCCGAGCGGTCTTGGCCTGGTACATGTCCTCCAGCTTCCTCCAAAGGACATATGCGTCGGTTTCTTGTGCAACATGATGGAAGACACTATGATCAATCCATTGTCGGATTTGACCAATAGTTTTTCTGTTGATTTTCTTCCATTCTAACGCCTTGGACGGATCAGGGTTAATACCCTGCAGCTCTATTAGGTCAAAGAGCTCTTTACAGCTGAGGAAAACTTCCATCCGAGGTTTCCACAGCGTATAGTTGGTAGCCGTGAGCATAATCATAGCTCCAAAAGATGAAGTTGACTCTTCCATGGCCATTTTACACCTTTAATGATCTGTTTGGGACCAATCGGAGCTGAATTTTGAAAAACAGACAGCACCGTTGCGTCCGGAACAGTCGAAAATGGGGGAGGGGAGTTTTTTTTTTTATATATGTTGACGTGGCAGTCAAACGATGACGTGGCGTTGACTTGCTGATGTGGCAGCTGACTGGACTGCTGACCTGGAGATTGACTGGTTGTTTACGTGGCAGCTGACTAGGCTGCTGACTGAGTGTTCTTTGCTGACGTGGCGATGATGTGTCAGATGACGTGGCGACACGTCATCGTCTTCAACCTCAGATTTTTTTTTTTTTTTTCAGAACTTCGGAAGGCTTTTCGGGACAGCTCCGGTGTCCGTTTTTCGCCCGTAAGATATCACCGCGACCGTCTCGACGAGACGAATCCAACGGTGTCCTCGTAATTGAATTTCGAACACAACCCAGAAACTCGAATTTCTACAGAAGCTCGGAAAAAATCAAAATAAAGCTTGAAAGCTTCAAACCTTGCTCTGATACCACTTGTTGTGGTATCATCCCAAGATCATAAACATAATTTGAGAGAAAAAATAAGTTTTTATTACTCACAAGAATAAAAACAAGTTTCTATTACTCACAAGAATAAAAACAAGAGATTTACAAACTCTAAACAAAAAACTCTCAAACACTCCACAACTCTTTCTTGGTTGTGTTTCAACACTCTCTAGGTTGATTGATCACTCTCAAGGATGATTTGAATGAATGAAATATGAAGCCTATTTATAGGCAAGAAGTAGCACATCTCCATTGACAACATGTGTGTGAATGAGAAGGGTTGGTGAGGTGTGAAGGGCTAGCCATTGATGAAGTCTTCAAACTTGTTCTTCCATGGTGTGCTTGAATATTTGGTGAAGACTTATGGTTGTTGGGAGATCGTACATTGTTGACTTGTTCATGCATGGAACTTTCAAAAATCAGTAATAAAAATAAAATCAATTAAGATCTAGCTTGGCCATGATGAAAACCCCCCCCAAAAAAAAAAGAAAAAAAAAATCCACATTTTAATCACTGTTGTCAAATCTGCAGCTTTTTTTTTTCCTCGCAAAGGCATATATTAGCATGGACTAATTTTCTATTTTTCTTCGAATTATTTCATCAATATATACTATGTTATATTCTGGTAGTACCTTTTTAAATCCCATGACTATCCACACGAGTTTATTACCTTTGAATCAACACACACATATGGATAGATGTTAACATCCATGTGTAGATCAAAACACACCGGATAAATTGAAACAGTGCACTCAAATTACTAAAACAACCACTGCAAATCCAGAAAACCAAACATCACCAAAATACTAGAGAATCCTAAATTCATACTTAAAAAGGTACGGACAACTATGAAAAACTGAAATATCCGTTTGAAGCGTCTGTAGTAATCGCATACTTATTCATAACCAACTATAGCAACATAAACGATATAACCTCACACTTATAAAAGACTACGCGCCCAGAACTTCAAAGTTTGCACAGAATGCAAATAATTATTACATCATTGTAAGTCTTCACACTTTCTGAAACCTTATCCATCATGGCATTTTACGGCAGACACTAAACAGAAAGGGGCTTTCAGACGAAAACCATCACCGAGCACAAAATATTTAGGATTTTGCTAATACTCAAGTAACTTTCAATTCCCATCGTTGACGACCACATTCTGGTGAGCCTCAACGACTTTATCCCCAATTGATTCAAACCAGAGAACGCAAACAAGCTTGTAAAAACTTCTCACGTACATACTTTCACCTATTGGCATCAATAACCTCCATTCGACCAATCTGGTAAACTCGGCACCATGCTGCGTGAGTAAACCAGAAGAACATCTTTAAGTAAGACAAATAGATATATAGTAAGAGAGAAGAAAGGAAAAATAAAAAGCAAAAAAGAAGAATTAGGATTAGAGCCAGGTGAAAAATAAGGTCACATGAAATATACTTCAGTAAATTAATCCACTAAAAGCCAAAAGAGAAATAGTTTTTCAACTTCAGCCTTTTCTATTTAAATGGAAAGCACCAAGGACTTCTTACAATAATCACAAAATAATGGATTATAAGATAATTGCAGAACAAAACATAAGGGAAAGCATGGTCATCATGGTAACCCCCACCCCCAACACAGACACACACACACACACACACACAGAGAGAGAGAGAGAGAGAGAGAGAGAGAGAGAGAGACCTTATTCAATTGCAGGTGCCTGCAACACTCCAGACGAACCATGTGCCATAGAAACTTACTAAACATTGGCCATTCCGCAACAGCAAAGGATGAAGTAACAGCATCCAACCACAGACACGTGCTTTCAAAAAATAGGTCACAACCTGAAACGTTAAAACACGGGTTAGATGAGGATACTTGGCGCAGCCAACTGATCATAAAAGTGTGTTGCGCACACACATACACACATGCATGTATGTGTGTGTGCAGATATATGCAATGTATTAAAAAGAAACGAGAGAAACTAACCTTCCACGTCTACTCTTGATCATCTCACACGAAGAAACGACCTTCCCAGATAGACTGTCCGTGATACTGCTGTGGGGGACCGGCAGGCTGCTGGTTTGCATTCAGAAATTGTTGGTTACGATCCACATACTGCTTCATATGCCCTCCAAATTGGTCATTCCAACCTTTAAGCTTCTCACTCTGAACTTGCACATTCGAAATTTGCTTTCCAGGGAAAGGAAATGCTGTAGTCTCCATTTCACTGTTTCTCTGGGTCGCAGAAGGGAATCCATTTGGCCCAACAAGATTCATTGAACTACTGAATCCAACACTTTGATTTGCTGAGGACAACTGGTATCCATCCAGCCAGCTGTAGTCATCCATCGGTACAGTTGGGCGATTTTCGTTTTTCAAGGCTGTGTTGTACAATATCTCTTCGGCAGCTTTTGATGGGAAGGAACCAAAACCAGGTGGTGGACCAAAATGTCTTACTGGTCGACTCACAGGATTCTTCTTTTGACCCGGTGGCATGTTCGTAGATATTTTCGCGGATTGTCCATCTACTCCAGAGGTTACAATTGAATCAAACTTTGAAGGCATGGTAGCTTGAGGAATCTGAATGGAATGATTTTGGCTACTTCCAGTACTAACAAATTGGGGGTAGGGAATGGAAATGGAAGTTGGTTGAGAGACTCCAAACATTTCTTTCAGCTCCAATTTCAGTTGGGATCCATTTTCCACTAAATTTAAGTTGGCCAGATTATTCATGATGGGATTGTGTTCAACAGGCCAATTCAACACGTCGGGCTGCACTGATTGCGGATAGTGTGGAGTGCCGTTAGCAACAGTGTTGGAAAGTCTCAAGCTCGAACTCAATGGACCCTGTAAGAGAAGACTATCATTTGCAACAGAGGACCTGTTCTCGTTCCTCGAGTTAATATCGCCAAACCCAACAACCGGAGACGGAACCCCTAAAGTAGTATAAGTTGAAGTGAAATCATCAATATGCTTCTCAGTAATTGGCGGCTTAAAAACAATCACCTCATCCTCATCCTCATCCTCCAAACCCATCTTTGTCTTTGATGTCATTTGGGACCCCACAGAAATGTCTACCGAGCTAACGGTCAAACTGGATTCCAGTAAATAATCATCAACATCCAGAGGCTCAACACCAAACACAAATTTCTTCTCCTTAGTGTCGAAATATACACTCTCCTGGCCATTTCGGACAATGTTTGCAAGAGATTTTCCAGCTGCAATGATCCTCTGAACTCGGGCCATCCCTTCTTTGCTACCTCCATCCCCACCAATTGAGTGCTTTCTCGAAAAATCTAGAATGAGTTGGGCCGGAAGAAGAGGAAGAAACCCTCTCAACTCGAAGTCCTCGGGCAGCGCCAGACGATTGGCAGTCTCGCTCTCGTCATACATGCTCATGTTAGAAAAACATGTTTCATCTTCATCTTTAGCGACATATACATACCCACTTGACAAAAGCTTGTTGAGAAATGAGACACACTTGTCCCAAAAGAAGGACCTGGCGTTCACCTGTTTCTCCTCCATTTCACTCCCGGTTGCTACATCCTGATGACAGGCAAGCCACTCCACAAAAACCATAATCCCAGGCAATAAGTAGCTCGATGAGGGATCAGATAACTGGCTACATCGTTCAAGAACACAGCCCATAAATTCAAAGGTTGCACTAAAGGCATTTTGAAGCAGGACTGAACGCTGTAGTATATCGGCATAAGATTGGCTTTCGCTTTCCCTGTTCAAGTTATGCACAGTAAATATTAGCATAGCAATCATCCTGACAGTTGCAAGTCTACACTCAGCAGCATCGGAACCAAAATTGGCTTCCTCCTGAGGCCCAGAAGAAAGAAGCTCCAACAAATCACTTTTAACTAATAAGAACACCTCGGCAAATGTCTCCAGGCTGGGATCAAAGTAGAAGGACTAGAGTCAGTAAATGATTACTTTGAAGGGGAAAAAAAAAAAAATAACACTCTAGAAAGTTCAAAACAAACCTCGTGCGAGTAAAGAGAATGCCGTTCAGCCTCACAAACCGCGTCACAAAAGCTTTGAGTAACTCAAAATTATTCGATGCTTTTTTCTTAACTATGTTAGACTCAGTCTTACAATCTTTGAAAGAAGACCTTGTTTCCCCTTTGCCTCTTCCTTTCCCAGGAACCCTTGGAGGTGTCGTCTTCATGGTAGCAGTCTTAGCATCACCAAGAAATTGAGTATAATTCTGACGATTCTGCAAAATGAAAGAAAGCTATTGATTAAACGTTTCTAATGCTCTTGAAAACAGAACATGTTAATGTCCCTGCATCATTTCGCAATCTCTCTTTGTCAAGAAAATGGATATTCAGCTATTGCAAAAACATGCCAGACATTAGCTTGAACTCATGTAAGGTCTTTCGTAGTAAATGCAGACACAACCAATACCAGAATGACATGGCACACATCACCATCCTTCAGGAACTGTTAAATGAGTCAGGGGGAATATAACATAAAAATAACAAACACTAGCTTACACTTGCATGACTAAAATATTTGCAATCATCAGGTTCCAAATGTCATTTTGACTATGTGAAGCAAGGATATGAACAGAATTATTTACTTTCGGTTTAATTCTACATCAGTTTCTCCCAGGAAACAGTTACCAAGTCGTGTAGCAACCGTAGAAAAATGATGACCAATAACATCTTTAAAATAAATTAGAAGTAAAAATCCGATGAACTCAATTTACGGCAACCATTTAATACCTAACTTACCTTCTCAAAAGCAATGATCAAGTTATCCCTGGCCGTAATGAAAGGGTTCTCAACTGCCAGGCTTCTAAAATAGCGATAAATCGACAGCAACTCATCATTAGAATATCCAGCCAGTATAGCAAGCTGAGAAGCACATGGGGTGACTTAAAGTTAATCAGCAAGAAACAACTAACTAAACCAAAGCCCAATTGAATAAATTAACAAAATGCCATAGCCTTAAAAAAAAAAAAAAAAAAGAACAAGAACATATAAAGCACCTGATGATGCGGATTGCCACTTGAAGCCCAGATTGAAGAAGCTTGCATATAGTAACTAGAAGCAGCAGCAAAATCCCGGGCTTTAGAATCCCCTTCCCCATACAAGCTTTTGTAACGTGCCAAATCTCCCAGATAAATCAAGCAACGATGGCAAGATATCAAGCCTTTTTTCACCTCTGAAGATTTATTTCCATCTTTTGCTATAGAAATCTGATTATCAGAATCCTCAGAAATATATCCCAATGGCAGTCCATACTTTGCTCGTATCTTCAGCATCAGATCATGATAAAATCCACTTGCCTCAGAAAGAAACGTCTTAAACTGGGAACGGATCTTCGTGAGCCGATCAGGTCCGGGACGAACAGGACCTTTCCCATTTTGAGATCCTGCAGAAGCAAGAGCTGCATTGAAGAGTGCCCTTAGTTCCTCAATCCTCCTATAATGCAATTGCCACAGAGCATATTCTACATCATGCTGTTCGGAAAAAGCATGGTCTTCAAGGACAATTGCTTCATAATTTTCACGCATATTCTGCCATGTGTTAGGATTTGAAGGGATCCTGGCCTGAGCAGCTTTTCTCCGCTTGTTCTCCAACTCAACATTCTGCAATAAGATGAAGAAGCAGAACACATAGCAATTAAGTTATCTACCAAGAAAGCAGATCAGCACAACACATATGCAAGACTCTAGTCAACGTCAACCCAAACAATTTATTCTACTCCACATGCACAAAACCAGAACAAATAACTTATCCATCTAAAAATGACAAACCATAAGAGCACATACCTTGTTGAAAAGGCACTGAACACGATCTCTTGTTGAATTTTTTTCGTCTTTATCCATCACCATGGTCATCTTTCATAAAATAAAAGATAATCAAGATATACAGCCGCAACACGCATATATGACATTAAATCCACCCGAAACTACCTGCAATAAAACATATTGACTGGAAATGAATGGTTTGGCTAAAAAACAGAGATAAAAAATCTTCATAAGTGTACAAGATGCACTTAGGTTTCCTCCAAAGTCATGCATGCACCACATATTCTATAAAAAAATGTGAAATAAAATACTAAGTAACCGCTAAAAAAGACATGTACACAGGTCACAATTTGATTTTCTGCCCTATCTCAACAGCTTCAAGATCAGAAGCAGCCAAAAGATATTGAAGATATTTGTTCAATGTCAGGTTTGCTGATTGCAACTACACTTCTTGTGACGACACCTACTAAACTCAACTTGAGAAAAAGTTCAGCATGTAATATATCAGATCGCCTAAACAAGTTTTGTCGTATTTATCTACTCTTAATAAAAAGATAGTTAAATTTTAAATACCCATTGCACGTTATTGCGTTTCAACCTTTGTACCCGCATTCTAAAAGTGTATCTGGGTGCGAAAGATGTAAATTATTGACCGGCACCAAATTCATCACCCACATCACCACTTTCTAAATAAAGACTTGTAATACATTGAATTTCGGACAAATTGATAAATTAATCATGCCACGCATTTAAGATTTACTAACTATAAAAAGTACATACAACCAAGCCACTCACGGCTAAGGAGAACCATCAAGGCATCCAATTTCTACAGAAGTAACAGAACAAATCAATACTTAATACCCTAACTCTACCTGGCTAAAGTCAAAATATGATATAACAGGTTCGTCTTTCAAGAAATACGTAAGGATGTACAGGGAAAAGGGAATAACTGAGGTAAACGAAGCTTCAAAAAACAATTGACAAAAAAGAATTTAACCAATTCAATTGAACCGTGAAAAATAGCCCAAAAACAAACAAAAAATTCAAACCACACAAAACTCCCGATCAAAATATATACGGGACAATCAATTCAAAACCCTAACCCATAAATTGTCGTACATTCAGCAATAACAAGAAACAGCTGTATAATCAACAAGCAAACTCCAAATAACCCAAAAAAAAAAAAAAAAAACGAAAAAACAGCCAAGAATAAGTTACCCCAGCAAAAAAACGCAGCAGATCTGCAAATTTCAACCACGAACCGCGCTTGACTACACAAATTCAACGCCCCTATACATGTAATCGCGCAAGCAGGAAGCAGCTGATGGTGGGCTAGGGTTTCTAGGTAAGGGAATCAAATTCAATTTACTCAAGAAAAACTGAGGGTTTTTGGATGGCGTGAAGGAGGAAGATGGAGAAAAAGGGATGAAAGGGAAGAAGAAGGGATGACTTTGTTTTCTCCTCCTATTTTCGGTTTTCCTTTGTATTTATATAACAATTCTAGTTTCATTATTTGTTTGTATTTATTATTATATTAAAAACAAAAAAACAAAAATCAGCTATACTTTAATAATATTTTAATTTTTAATAAATGAGACGAGCTCGAGTTTGAGGAGCACGAAGCGAGCTTGAGCATCTCGAAATTGGATTCGAGCAAATTGGAGCTTATATGTTATTAGCTCGAATGTTTGACAAGTCGTATAAGTTTAATTATTCGAATACGTAATTAAAACTAAACCGATCCAAAAAAAATCTTATTTGAATATGAAGTCTTGATTTAAATTTCAAGTTGCATTCGAGCAAAATATGAGCATGAGATTTGTACCAATATGATAGAATTTATGTATATTTGCCAATACAGAGTCAGTTTATAAAGTTGAGTTCGAAATTCAAGTCGATATCAAGTATTTGTATATTTTGGTGGGTCGAGTTGAGGCATGCCTTAAAAATCGAGCTTGAGCTCAAGCACAAATGGGAAAATATTGTTAATATAATATTATTATTAGTATTATTTTTATTATTATTATTTTTTATTTTTTATTTTTGTGTGTAGAATATCCCTTTCTATATATAATTCCTGAATGCGCTGAGCCCACGTGGCTGCTTCTGGTGCTTCGGAATCCTACTCGGCGAAGAATTATGCTTCGTAATTAGGTTTAGACAAATATTATTGATATACTAATAATTAATAATCTATGTTCGGACATTCCATAAATATTATTTAGCTAACTTAGGTATTTTAATATCACTTATACTAATATAACCTTTTAATTTTTTGTAATTTTACATAGTGAGACACTAAGTGACTAATATATCCATGACTTTTGATTTGTTTCTTTCAATTAGCTATTGAATTATAAATGTATTTTAAAAGTTGATAACTTTTGTTTTTCTTATCGGTTTTACATATATAATATATCAAATTAATCATCTTTTCATGATCTTCGATTTGACATCCATATTTATATTTATCTTTATATTAATGAAAAATAATAATATTTATTAAATTTTATTAGAAAAATAAAATTATTTCTCAGTTGATATATTTATGTTTAATGTAGTTATATGTTGTAAGTTAAAAAAATTATTATAATATAACACAAGTAAGTCACACAAATAAAAAGTGTCATATTAAATATATAATAATATATATAGTTTAATAAAAAATATTTAAATTTTTAACTATTTTTTCTCATTCATTTTAAAATTTAAGGAAAAAATTTAGGCCGTGTGGGCGTTGTACTAGTATTGAAGTAGTCCAAAGTGTACAAACAATCAGCCCATTTAAATTGACTACTATTTCTGTGGACCACGTTAGAGTGATAGTACATTAAAAAGAAACATATGAATGACTCCAATTTGGGTTTTTGGCAATATCAGATTCGGCTTAAGTGTAGAAAGTGGGCTTTAGGCCTAGTCCAAGAAAGGCCCAAAGAAACTGTAGCAAATGAATCCGAGAATTATTGTCACTTGAACCCTCATAAACCCTAATTTCTCTGGGTTCATTTCTTTCTGTGGTTCAAATCATCCTAAATTCTTCAGCAAAATCCCGATCCTCGGTTGAGCGAGCTTCGCAGGTTCGATTTCCACCCAAATGTAAGCAGCCCAGAATTCCTAATTGCACAATTAATCCCTTATGCTCGTGATTTTTAGCATTCGCGTTTATGGCCTCGTCCGCCATTAGAGCTGCTGTAGAATTTCGTATTGGGTTGCTCTGTGACAATAGTATTTAGTCCCTCTTCTCTTTTTATCAGTTTTCTGTGCATTTTTACAGCATTGTAGCCGGGGATAAGGAGCAATGGTGCGTGCTTACAGAGTGAAAGGGCAAAAGAGGAAGAAGAAAGGCGAGAAGTACGACAGAGAAGAAGAAGAAGAAGAAGAACACGAGCAATTGGAGGAGGAGAAAGTCGATGAGGAGCCGCCAAAGAAAATGAAAACGGAAAAGGCCGAGCAGGAGAGAAAGGCGGAGCAATCTGAGGCGGTCACGGCTGATGAGCTGCCCGGAATTCCAATTGTTCCAATGGACAACAATGCTAACAAGCCAGGGGTCATCTTTGTTCTTGAGAAGGCGTCGTTGGAAATTGCGAAAGTTGGGAAGGTCTGTTTATGTGTTTCAGAAAAAGGGGATAAAAATATATATATTTTTTTTTTTTTTCAGTTATGGAGTAATTTTGTTATTTATTTTGGTTGGATTTTCATTATGCAGTCCTATCAGCTCTTGAGTTCGGACGAGCATGCCAATTTTCTGGTGAGGAATAAGCGGAACCCTGCAGATTATCGGCCGGACATTTCTTTTCAGGTTCGCTTGAGTTTAAGATCGAAAAGAAAATGATTAATTTACTGTATGCTTGAGGATGATATTGATTGTCTTATATCATGGTGATGCCTTGGAATTTTACGCCCGTGTGTGTGTGGTTATCTTGTTATAACTTTGGTCAGATTTGTTTGTTGTAAGCTGTGAAGAGTAACGAATTCTGTGAAATCTATATAAGTAGATTTCCACTCTCAAGGCGGTTTTTTTCTATTTCTGCATTTTGAGCCAATTGCAACTGAGGCTGTTAAGTGATGTGGCACTATCTTCACATGTGAAAAACTTTTTCACCATCTTTTAATCAATGTACTTCGAGTTAGTATGCTTGCATGGAGATTGCAATCGTACTCCCTTTCTTCTTTAATATGTTAATCTGTCAAGTGCAACATTAGTCTATCTTTTTACTTTTGTATAATCTGTTCAAATTCTACTCAGGCGCCTGAAAATCTTTTGTACTCTCTTTTCGCACATTTATTGCACATGAATGATAAACCTGGAAACTGTTTGCCATTGTTGTTAGTTATGACCGTCAGTGAGGGATTGTCTTGTTACTAACAATCGTGTTTTCTACATTCTGAAATGTTTAGGCTATTCAAACAATACTAGATAGTCGGGTGAACAAAAGTGGGAGATTAAAAGCTTTATATGTGAGGACACAGCAAGGCCTTCTTTTGCACATTAAACCTCACGCACGTATGCCGAGGACATATAAGAGGTTCTCTGGTCTCATGGGTGAGTAGGCCTGATTCAGTTTCTAAGTTTGTGTTGAAGACTTCGTATCAATGGGAAACTTTTGATCACATTTATCAATGATTTGCAGTGCAATTGCTGCAAAAGCTGCACATAACTGCAGCCGGTAAAGGCGAAAAACTTCTGCGTGTAATTAAGAATCCTGTCACGCAATATCTACCCATCAACTGTCGGAAAATAGGTGAACCATTTTATCTATGTTTGTCTATGCATTTAGTTTCACATTTATTGCCACAGAGAATATTAAATGTAGTGATTTCATTTACTGGATATTAGGCTTCTCTCACAGTTCAGAAAAGCTGGTAGATATGTACGATTATGTCCGAACTGTTAACAATGATTTGGATCTCGTTTTTGTGGTATGATGGATATTACTCCTTTTTCTTTTTCCTTTTCCTATTTTCCTCTCTAGATTTGTTTATTCGGCTGAAGTTTGCTTCTGCCCTGTGTGATCCAATGACAGGTAGGGGCAATGGCGCATGGAAAAATTGATGAAGACTATGTAGAAGATTATTTATCAGGCAATGTGCTATTTCAGTTGAAAATAATTACAATCTTGTAAATTTTTCAGTTCCTTTAATGGTCCTTTGGTTATTGTCTTCGAGTTCTTCTGATAAGGTACATTCGACTATTGCAGTTTCTGAATACCCGTTGAGTGCTGCATACTGTATATCGATGATAACAACTGCGGTCGAGCGAAAGTGGAAGATTCTGTAAATGTATTAATTATTATCATTCTCTCGTGCTTTTTGAGTTTTCGAGATCTTGGAATAGGGCTTTTGGTTGGATGAATTCGGTTTTTTATGTGGACAGCTTTACTATTATTCTTCTTTAGCAAAGGAAGTTTGACTTATCAACAGTTTGTATTGTGTAATTGCATTGTATGTTTGAGTATCGCCATGTTCGATTAATTTTGGCAGTGGTTATATGGTTATAATGTTCAAACTTATGTGAAATGTGTTTTATGTTCATTTTTGCTTTTGATGGGCTCCAACATTGGCTAATTATGTCGACTATCATAGGTTTACAGGTTAGATTCAATCCAAAGGGTGGGGTGAATCCCAGATACAATATAGATTTTATTCATTAGATCACAAGCAAATGCATACATACTCATATGAGTGTGTTGATTCCCTCGGGTGCGAACCACGTTGTGTGCTAGGAGTGTAAATGAGTTGACCCGAGTCAAACTCAGAGCCTTTTATCGAGCCAAGGTGGATAATGTTAATCTTCTAGTTTTAACAATTTTTAAACACATTCGGACTTGACTCCTTTATCAAATGAATCAAATGTGCTCGCGAGCGGCTCATTTATTTAACAGTTTTAAATGTATACATGTAGGATCAAACCTATCATATTTTAAGCCCAAACCTAGCTAATGTAACTACTAATTAGCATACTCTACCAATTTCCAAGCAGGGCAGCAAACGAGTCGAGTCGAGTCGAGAATGAACTTTATCAAGCGCATATCAAACTTTCTTTTTTCACTATCGAGTTGAGTTCGAGCTCGATGAATCATGTAAAATGGTGCTCGACTCGACTCGTGAAAAAAATAAGAATGCTCGAGCTCGACTCGTTACACAGGATGGCTCGAGTTCGACTAACAATTTAACAACTAAATTTTAAATATAAATGTATCATGTTTAATCTAAATAAAAAATTTTACTCGGTGTTCGAATATTGATAATTAAATTATATTAACTTGAACGGGTGGTCGAGCTTACGAGCCTCTTTTAATGATGTTCAAAACTCAACACGTTTGCTCGAATCGAGCATAGACTCGAGAGCTCATGAGCCACTAGACACTAATGCAGTCCTACTCGACTCAAATGGTTCGCTTCTAACAAAAATATTTGAAACTTTCGGGGAAAATAAAGTAAAGCCCGGATCTTCATGAGGGCCATGGCCGTGGCGTGGAGTGTCACAATTTGGGTGGCAACATTAATATTTGTGGCGTTGGGTGGCTGTGTGTTTTCTTGCTTGTGAGTGTTGCTGATGAAATTGCAGGTTCTCTGAGGTCAGGAGATATTGGTCCTTTTCGTGTTGGTTGATGTTCAAAAATCTTTGTTAAAGACCAAAGTTTATGTCGTGCCGAAGCAATTTCTACAGCATAGGCTGAAAAAGGTGAAACCTCTTAACTGCAAGAAAGTGGGTTTTTGTAGTTGGAAGTTGGAAATCACCATCTTTGTTCCTCAGTGATGTGGCTTGCAAGTTTGCAGTGGATTTATATCGTTTTCTGTTTTTCTGTTCCTCGTTTTCTTGTGGTTAAGTTTTTGGTGATGTGCGTGGTAAAAGGACTGGTGCTTGAGTCACATTATGATGTGTTAATAGTGTTAGGAGTTCACTTGTTTTGTTCTACAAAACACTTAGTTTAGCAGCTATAGTTACTGATATATGTTCAAAGTGATAAATTTTGAAGAATGCAATTGCAGCAGATTTGATATGAATGAAAATCCACTAACACCATCAGCTACTTATTCAAAATAAAAAATCCAACACCTTCCTTGAACTCTACGGCCCGACTTTCCCGATCCTCATATAGATAGGAAACTTGACAACCTTCTCGATTTTCCCGTCTTCATTCCATGCCTTAGTGAAACCCTCGACAACTTCATCACTCAACAGCTCCACACCTTTCTCTTTAGCTGCTTGATAAGCGGACCATGATTTGAGGTACGTGAAGTACCCCTTCAAATCCATCACTTTCTCCGAATCGAACCTGAAGGGCCCGTTATGCTCAAGCCCATTAACCGGCACGAATGGGAAGTCAATGGTCTCGTACCTCTCGTCCACCATCCTACGTGGAGGCATCTCAAAGTACGGGACCGCGTCCACATTGTAGAATCTGTCGAACAGCGAGTCAACTCCAGGGTTGACCTCGGGAGACGTGTAGCACCATGCGGCTATGACCCCATCTGGCTTTTTGAGGGCCCATTTAACCTGCTGGTAGAATTTCGGGAGGTCGAACCAGTGCATGGCTTGGGCTATGGTGACTAGGTCGACGCTCGATTCCGGGCCGATTTTTTCTTGGAGTTCGGATATGGACATGCACGGTGAGGTACATTTGTAAGTTATGTTCGGTAGTTTGGTTGCGAATTCGAGCTGCCTCGGGCTTTTATCCGTGGCTATAACATTCTTGTAGATATTTGCTAGCTGGATTAGAAAAAAAAAAAAAAAAGTTTCATTTAGCTTGAAGTCAATTGAAATACAAATTACTTCTCTTCCAAAGATATGTATACATCATTTTTTTCCTCTGTTTGTTCTGCTTTCACTTCAGTTTGGAGTAGTTGATAACTTCTTCCATGTGCTTTTGCTCATCCAAGTTTTTGTTAAATGTAAATAAAATTCATATAACATAAGTTTTTTGACTATGAGACATTTGCATGAGAGTTGTTATTTGAACCGAGCCGAGCCCGTTTAACTAAAAACTAACCGAGTCGAGCTCGTTCGTGAACAACTTGTTAATTTTTCTTATAGGAACAAACAGTCGAGCCGAGCCGCGACTTTGGCTCGTTTAGTAACCGAGCTCGAACGGGCTCGAATAACACTTCTTTATTGCATCCTCAAGCTTAAATATGGATCAATCAAACCGATAAAAGAGGGAGAGACTTACTGATCGAGCGGATTGGCCATTACCGGTTCCAACATCCCACGCAAGATCGTGCGAAAGTGTCTTCGATGCAATGAAATCAAAGAGCTGTTGTGGGTAAGAAGGTCTGCCTTCAGAATACTGCTTTGACATGTACAAATCTGCCATTTTTCAATCAAACTTTAAAGTGTGTGTTTGGTTTTTACTACACTTTGGTCTGAAAAAAATGTTATGGTTTGTGAGATCTAAGAACTTTGCAGTCTATTTATAGCAGTTAATGGGATATTTTGGGAGCAAAGTTTTGAAGGTAGTTTAACAGCTGGTCAAAGTTCATTATACTATGTTGTAGTGATTTGTGATGTGAAATTTTTGGATAATCTGTAGATGTGACCGGGCCCAAATCGGGCCTTTTTGAATTATGGTTTATGATGATGAGGGGTAATCTAATCTCTAAAGTTTGACCGGGCCCCAACCGGACTTTTCTGAAATGGGGATGAAGGTGTTCAAATTGTTATTGGCTGCCTTTAATGTTTTCGTCATTTGACTATGTTGTGTTGAACAAGAGGGGTGGGTGTATTCAATTGCAATTTTAAGGGTTTATTCACCAAATCCCCCTCTATTAAATGAAATCTGTGCGTTACCCCATTGTGGTTCAAAAATTGCGTCAAACCCATTGAATTTAATATTTGCGTGCATACTCGCCCTTTGATATTAACACCGTTACTTTAATACTGACGGTGTTATTTTTTCGTCGAATTTATCATTGTACCCTTACTTTATCGCTGAATTTACCATTATGCCATTATACCCTTACTAGTATGGTACCCGTGCGCAGCACGGCGGGGTTATTTCCTCAAATCTTTTTTTTTTAACTTTATTTTAAATATTTTTTTATAAATAAATAATTTAATTACAATTGAAAGATGATAGAGAAATAAAAAATATAAACAAAAATCATATATTATTAAACACTTCTCTATACACAACATTATTGGTTTGATTTTCTTTCAAACCTTCTTCTTCACAAATTAAAATTTTCAGACCCTTTCTATTAGTAACACTAACTGGCCATGACTAAAAACTGGTTTCTTCAAAAATAAGTCAACATGCGATAATGATTGGCATTGACTCTTCTTTATAGTCATTGCGTAATACTCTAACATCAGAAGGAGTTATTGTCATCCGAGGTATCAAAACTTTATCACATGCATGATCGCCAGTAAGAATTTTACACTAGAGAACATGATTGGAGAGTTTAGTCACAACCAATCGTGTACCATTGCAGAGTCCCA